AGATGTATGGTTTGCAATGATACTGTGATTAGACCCAATATGTTAGTGATCACGTGGACTGTTGTACACCTTACGAGCTTTATTATTGATAATGTGATAATTTTAAGTATGTGGGCCGGAATTAAGTAAATCCTAATTAGGGTTAGAGTTAATAATGGGCCGACTTTATGATTTCCTATATAATGGCTAGGTTCCCTCTCCTCTCCACATCGTTTTGGCTTGCCCCATTGACGGCTTATTATTTTTGAGGAGTAAGGAGATGAATATCTAGCTAGTAATATCCATAAACAAAAATGTCTTCCGCATGTATGAATNTTTTATGATTAATGAGAGAAAGATCTAGCTTGTAATATTCATACATAACAATGTCTTCCGCATGTATGAATTTCAATCTATCAATTCAGTATACGTGATTCTTGTTCTTAACATGATAATTAAATAATTACAACAATATGTGCCAATGAACCTGCAAAATGCTGATTTTGTTATTTCAAATTCTTCCAGAAGGCCTCAAAAATTTGTTACTTCATCTTTTAACAGGTTGATGAAAATTCAAAAAATTCTGCATGGGAAGCCATGGAATATGAGGTAGATAGCCACGAAATTTTGCCCAACGTGCCCAAAGATAGACCTCTTCAGAGAGGAATAGTAGAAACAATACATGAAACTGAGTCAACAATTGTGAATTCCCTTACACAGAAAGGAGTAAAGATCACAGCAAATCCCCATGAAAACTTGATCAGGATCGATTGTGACGTGGTCATTGTTGGCTCTGGCTGTGGTGGTGGTGTTGCAGCCGCAGTTCTTGCAAGTGTCGGCCATAAAGTTATCGTCCTCGAGAAAGGAAATTATTTTACCAAGACAGATTATTCTGCACTAGAAGGGCCTTCCATGAATGAACTGTACGAAACTGGAGGAATTCTTGCAACTTTGGATGGAAAAATGACAATCTTTGCAGGATCGACGGTAGGGGGTGGCTCGGCTGTTAACTGGTCGGCCTGCATTAAAACGCCACAGTCTGTGCTACGAGATTGGGCTATAAATAAAAAAATTTCTCTATTTGGAAGTCCTCAATATGTTTCTGCAATGGATCAAGTGTGTGAAAGACTAGGTGTCACAGAGAATTGTGTTAAAGAGGGGTTTCAGAACGAAATTCTCCGTAAAGGGTGTGAAAAGCTCGGGCTTGAAGTTGAGTCTGTACCCCGGAATTCATCAGAAAATCACTATTGTGGTTCTTGCTGTTATGGATGTATTAGAGGAGACAAGAAAGGAACTGATACAACTTGGCTGGTTGATGCTGTAAATTGTGGTGCAGTGATAATAACAGGATGCAAAGCCGAGAAATTTATACTCGAAAAGAGCAGGCACGGAATTAAACGGCAGAAGAAATGCTTGGGAGTACTTGCAAGAAGTATAAATACAGATATCAGAAAAACGATACGAATTGATGCTAAAGTCACAATCTCTGCTTGTGGTTCTCTCTTGACACCGCCTTTAATGATCCGTAGTGGTTTAACGAATAAGAACATTGGACGGAATCTTCATCTTCATCCGGTTTTGATGGCGTGGGGGTACTTCCCTGAGTCTATTTCAGATATCAAGGGAAAAGTTTACGAGGGAGGTATAATCACATCGATGCATAAGATCGGTCAAGGTCCATCCAACGAAAAAGCAATAATCGAATCTCCTATTCTAGGGCCTGGATCATTTGCAGCTCTGTGTCCTTGGAAGTCTGGAGTAGACTTTAAGAACAGGATTGTGAAGTATTCAAGAACAGCCCATCTGTTTGCAATGATAAGAGACAGAGGAGCCGGAGAAGTTACTGCAGAGGGAAGAATCAAATACAAATTCCATACACGGGATAAGGAAAATATTAAGTTTGGAGTACGTCAAGCTTTAAGGATTCTAGTAGCTGCCGGTGCTGTTGAGGTGGGCACTCATCAGAGTGATGGACAAAAACTCGAATGCAAAGGAATTACAGAGAAAGAATTGGACGAGTTCTTGGACACGGTTATTGCACCTGAAGGGCCAAAATCATTTGTCGAGAATTGGACAACATACTGCTCTGCTCATCAAATAGGAAGCTGCAGAATGGGAATTAACGAAAATGAAGGAGCAGTCGATGAAAATGGTGAGAGTTGGGAAGCATCGAGATTATTTGTTTGTGATGCTAGTGTTCTTCCAAGTGCGCTTGGCGTCAATCCTATGATAACCATTCAGTCAACAGCATATTGCCTCTCGAATAAGATAGCTGAGATGTTGAAGAACGAAAAGTTCTAAGTTCCTATTCTACGGGAGCATATCTATTTATCTTCAATTTCATGTTTCTTAAAACTTTCCGGTTTCCATTCAGTAAGATCCAAGAAATGAATAGAGTATCTGTACCTCCAGGTCTGGTTTCCTATATCAGAAACTTCTATTCTTCTTGTGATTATTATGTGTTCATTCATGTATAAATCACTTTGCAACTAAGATATACATTTCTCTGTATAAAGTACTTTTAATTAAGATGGAAATCTCCAAGTACAAAACTAGCTGGAGGAAGAAAAAGCCTTTATCATCCACCGTGAGTAGCTCTTGCCTCCATTTCTGTTTTTCTCATAGCAAACAAGTAATTTATGTGGTCACCAGTGCTGGGCCGGCAGAACTTTTTAGTAAATGCTCCCTAGCCGCCTCCTTAATACTCAAATCCCATGAGTGTTTGTCACTGTAAAAAGGACCAAACCTCAGGTGAGTGAGACTCTTTTAGCCGTGGGATCCTGACAAGTCTGGGCCGTTAAATGTCATTAACTGTCATTAATCTTGATGACAAATGACTTAATTTATTGTTAATTTTGGTTGTTAGATAAAATTCGAGAAAAATTGGGTGAATTGGAAGAAAGGAAGGAAAAATGGGCGAAAGCGAAAGAAATCCGAAGTTCAGGCACCAAAATTCAAACATTTAATAATTGATTCAGACCATAACACGATGATTGAAGATCATATATGCCAATTGGATGCAATTGGAAGTCAAATGAGTGAAATATAGTTAAAGTATTTTCACAAATCAATTTTCAACCGAAAAAGTTATACTCTGGATTTTCGGCCTCAAATTGAGACCCATTTTTCGGGTAGTAAACGTTTGAATTGGAAAATTTCTAATTCCAAAAAAATTATATCACTTTGAGTTATCTTTCTAACGTATTTTGAATCACCTAAATTGGATATCAGGAGAAAAAGTTATGACCAAAATATCGAAAGTTGATCGGGGATAACACCGCACGAATCGACGCTTACACGGTACCATATTTTCACCAACCCGAAAGCCATTTGGATCAACGGCGCATGCGAGGTAGTTATGCTAGTGTGTGTACACATGCTATTTCTGCAAATGAATCAGCAATTTCCTTTCGCGGTTCAAACTTTTTTGGAATCCAATTTGGATGCAATTTTGACATATTTTCTAACTCTTATAAATACAATCAAAGGCTACATTGAAAAAATCTCTCTTGCCTCTTCATACACAATAATATCATCAAATTCATCATTAACAAGAGGCCAATTCATCAGTTTTGAGAGAAAATATCAAACCTGGCAAGGAATTGAAATCAATTACATCAAGATTTTGAAGATTTCGACATTGGATTTGAAGATCAACATCTTTTGCATTCTATCATGATCGGGTGGTATTTTTTTATTATTCTTCTTGTAATTTATTTAAAAAATGTTAGGCTAGATCTTTTTTTTGTATTGGATGGTGATGGACCATATTATTTATTCGTTTTAATTCAAAACTGGTAATTAGTTTATTTTTTGCATTTCTTAACTAATTTTGTATACTCATTGCATTATTTAATTGATTGGCCACCAATTAAGTAATTAGTTACTTGTTGTAGTGTTGAGAGACTCACAATAAGTTGCGAAAAAATTAACATGTGTAATAGATATTAGAAATAATGTTTATCTCGTGTGCAATTATATAGATAATTTAAAATTTGATGCATTTTAACCATTCGAATTTGGGTTAGGAACATATTCGGGTTGTGGTTAGGATATTTAATTTGTCTTGAAAAAGAAATTAAATTCATTATCTTTATCGACGTCAAGAATGCATGAAAAGAACTAGATTACAAATCAAGAATTGAAATAGATAACATTAGGCAGACTCTAAATCCAATACAATCATCCATATTTTAATAAAAAACTCTAATTTTACCAATTTCTTAGATTAATTTAGAATAATCATAAAAATCAAATCTCTTTCGTTTACGTAATTCGAATTCCATAAAAAGTAGTAAATTTTAATTGAATATATTACGTGTGGGATGATACTTTCAACTTAATCTATTACTTGTTAACGATCACGTAGGTTTACGGATTTCGCACGAACAAATTTTTGGCGCCGTTGCCAAGGAATAAAGTATTTAATTTATATTTTTTTTGTTTTAGGCTATTATTTACACATCTAATCTCTCTTATTTCATTAATGGATTTTGAAAAATGTAAATTAATCTTGAGGATAGAAGAAAACAACAAAACTTCACAATGAATGCTCTACTCAAACAACTACATGACATTGCAGAGTGCAAAAGTATAGACCATGGGAAAATTAACAAGAACATGAAGGAATAACGTGGAATCGTTGGGTGAGACACCAATGAAAATCTTATAATATGAAGACTCAAAGATGAATTAAAGATCAACTGCCAATATAGCCAATGCAAGACTAAAAAATCTCTTTTCAAACCACCATAAATAACCAAAATAACAGTCAAGTTAAGGATTGTAAGCAAACCCTTTTTAGGAGATAACCTAATTTTTTTTTCTCTTTTATTTATTTTGCATTCTAAAATATTGGATTTTTAGTATAGGGTATCTTCATTCACATATATTCCTTTAACGTGTGTATGACCTTGCTATAAATTGTACCATGTTAAGATTGATTTTTATTATTTTGAAGGAACATTACACCTGAGTACATTGGACAAGGGAAAGGCATAGTAAGTGAGCCATCACTTTCATGCCAGTTCATTCAACACTTGCAGATTTATACCACAAGAGTACTTAGTTCCCTTCTCTACCTTTAATTTTTGTATATTGCTTTTTATATTTTTAGATATTGAGGGCAATGTTTGTTATAAGTTTAGGGGTGGGAAAACGTCAAGTTTTTATTTGTTTTTATTGTTTTGTGTGCTTGTTCGCATGTTAAAAAAAAATCCGAAAATTTTTAAATAAATAATTTATATTAAGCTTTATTTTTATTTTTGTACGCTTATGTATGTTAGATAAATTTTCCTATTATGATACGTACATTTGGAACTATGTGTGAAATTGTAAATTGTGAAAAAGTTACTAGTTAGGGTTGATTTATGCTTATTCATGTGAAACATGATATTTTTGTGCACACCATTTATGTTTTGGATCATGAATGAATAGTTTGATTCAAAATTTGAATTGGTTGAAAAAAAATTAATTAGTAGACCTTAGATGTAAAATTTAAATAATCACTAAATGATACATTCTTAAATCAATTTTAGAATAATTTGGGGTAAGTGAACTGTTGTAGGGACTAGGGAGACATTGAGATGAATGTGAATTCCATGTGTGCTAAATTTTGTATGAATTGTTTAAGGCTAATAAGATAAAATTTGATGAAAATCTTAAGTTAGAAGTTGATTTTTGAGAATTAGTGTTTAATAAGATGCATTGCACTAATTATTAAATGAATAAAAAGAAAAGAGAAAATATTTCCTCATTGTAAAACTTCTATTCGCAGCTTTTATTACTCGAATGATTAAGTCTGCAAAGGTATAACCTGATGCCTTATGGTCATATAACTTAGGAGTTATCGACCAAAAGCTCTCTATAAAGATCACACATAAGATACAAAAACAAAAAAAAAAAAATATTATTACATGCCTTGATTAAGTTCCAAACATTTATTTGAGAGAATTAGATTTTTTACAAGAGATTATTAAATTAGTTGATTCTTGGAGGTTGAAGCAGTAAAAAATAAGGAGAATACTAATTTGTTGATGTGTTGAGCTGCAATTAGTAAGATCTAATCAAATTAGAGAGTGTGATGATTAGTATATAAATTCAATCTTAGATCACAACATATGAGGTAATGAAAAGGATAAGTTTAGGAGTGTGAATCGTACGAGTGAAAAAAATGAAATATTTGACTATTGAGGGTTGAGAATTAAATCACTTTATGAATTTGTGATGTTTTACATGAATTTTCACACACACACACACACACACACGCGCGTCGATTTTGCATTGAGCGAGTATGAATTAATTTTAACAATGTGGTTCTGTAGTAGTTTATAGTTTTGATATATAGATTCCAATCCTAAGTCCAAAGGCAGATTATCTAACCGTGTTTGATTTTTTTAAAAAAATTTATTTAAATCAAATTTTATTTTGTTTGAGTACAAACAAATGTTTAGTTTTGGTGTGTTTGATAAGTGTTTAGGGTTGTTCTATACACTTATCTGGGTCTTTAAATGTAATTAATTGTAATTAATCTTGATGACTGATGGCTTAGTTTATTATTGATTTTGTTTGTTAGGTAAAAGTCAAGAAAATTGGGTGAGTTGGAAGAAAGGAAGGAAAACAAGTTAAAATGAAAAAAAAAATCAAAGTTTGGGGATCAAAGTGCAAACATTCAATAGTTGATTCGAACCATAAAAAGATGATTGAAGATCACATATCATCAATTGGATGCAAATGGAGGTCGAAGGAGTAAAATATAGTTAAAGTATTTTCACAAATTAATTTCCAACCGAAAAAAGTTATGTTCCAGATTTTCAGCTTATGATTGAGACCCATTTTCGGTTACTAAACATTTAAATTGAAAATTTCCATTTCTAGAAGGATTATATCCCTTCGAGTTATCTTTCCAAATTATTTTGAATCAACTCAATCGGATTTTAGAAGAGAAAATTATGACCAAAATACCAAAAGCTGCTCAAAGACAACACCACATGAATTAGCAAGTGCAGTACCCTACTTTCACCAACCCGAGAGCCATTTGGCTCAACGGCGTGTGCGTGGTAGTTATGTTGGTGAGCACACAGGCTTTTTGTGCCGATGAATCAACAGTTACCTTTCACGATTCGAACATTTTGGAACTCAAATTGAACAAGATTTTAACATATTTTCTGACTGTTATAAACACAAAACAAGGACTGCACATTGAAAAATTTCTATTGCCTCTTCACACAATAATATCATCAAATCTATCAAGAACAAGATGTCAATTCATCACTATGGAGAAAGAAGATCAAACTCTAGAA